GCTGGCGCCGGGGGATCAGCGGGGGCGGGGGCCAGCCGCTTTCAGCTGAAAGCCACAGTCAGCTTGCTAGGGTGTTTCAGTCCTCCCGACCTCCCAGCTCCCACCATTCCTCACAGCTACTCACCTGTGTTGTTGCTCGGTGAGTAGCTGCTCCTCAAATGAGGAAATCTAATGTAAATGTACTGTGCAGGCGTGCAGTTCAGAGAGGGCTCAAGAGCTACTCTTAGAGCCCCTGAGATCTATCGGTAGATCGCGATCTGCTGGTTGGTGACCACGGTTCTAATCCATCCCAATACACGTCCTTTGCCATCAGCTGCTTTCTGGGCATCCTCATGACTCTCCCCATGTCAGCCCACCTCTTCTCTGGGTCTGTTTTAGTTACGAAGCAAGTGGCGGGCCCTGGGGAATCCGAGCCCAGAGAACACGCCAGAGACACGGATCCCAGGCGTGAGAAGAAGCCATCAAAAGCTGGAGCAAAGCAGATGAACCCGGTAACATGAATGGGTCCATGGACCTCAATTTGTGCTCAGTCCTGAGAGGCAGCGGCCTGGCTGGGGTAATCTCAGAGCGGGAGCTGTGTTAATCTGTCACCACAAAGAAACACCGAGAGGTCCTGTAGCACTGTGGAGACTAACAAATATATAGATACAGTACTGAGAGCGTTTGTGGGCACAGCCCACTTCCTCAGACTCCGCTCAGCTGTGGAAGTGGGTTTTGTCCATGAAAACTCATGATTCTGTGTCTCTATATTGGTTAGTTTCTACGGGCACAGCTGCAGCAGAGGAGCCTTAGCCCAGTAGGGCAGTGACGGGGCTGGGGAGGGTTTCTAGTCAACGGGATGGGGCTGACCCCGCACTGGGTTACAGACTAGAGGCTGGACCGGAGGGTCTCTGTGCCAGGCCCTGCCCTGAGGGGATGCCCAGCCAGACCCTCCGCCAGGCACCGACCTTCCAACCCGGGTGCCATTTTCACGTCTCTGCAGTGCACGGCAGAAGTACGGAGGACTCAGAGCTGCGCAGTTTCAGGATGTGGATGGCTCTATGGCTTCACCCCCACACAAGGTGCCCCCCTAAAATGGGCTCTTGCACTGAAAGGGGTTCCCCCAGGGATTGTATGAAGTAGAGAGAGCTCACACATCCTGTGACTCTGAGACACCAGGGTAGTTAGTTGGTTTCTCGGGGCAAATCAGGACAAATTGCTTCAGGACAGGGCTGTTCCTAGCCTAGTACTGAGGATCCTCCCCTCTAGGGCCAGTGAACCAGTCACACGGCCCTTCTGCTCAGCACCCCAGCCAGCACAAAGTCCTACAACCCCCTTAGACACGCCAGCTTTTATATTCCCACCCACAGCGCCACGTCTTATACCGCCGGGAGGTGGTGAAAACCGGCCCCACCACATCCACACAGGTTCTCCCCGTCCCTGGGGACCAACCACAGGCCCATGTCAGTTTACACCTCACAGAGCTCACTGGGCCCTGCCTTTATCACGTAACATCTGAAGATTTACGAATAAAAGCAAGAAAACAAAGAAAAACAGGGAGAGGAATCCAACCCCGCAGAGCAATCACATCATTCCAGGCACAGCGCGGTAACAGGGACGGAACGATCTTCTCCCCTCAGCCTCTGGGACACAGCCTTTATCAGGAGGGGCCATCGGTGCTTTAGGGCTCAGATCCCAGCAAAGCGGCTCCCAAAGTGCTGAGCCG